GCCCACCCCACAGGGCAAGAGAGAGACTGAGCCTGGACGGGGCTAGAAGGAGGGGTACTGAGTCTAGGGACAAGGGGCTGGGGAAACGAGTGTTGGTACACCACCTCTGTGACCATCTCTCCCTCTCTGAAGCCATTTGTTTTTATGGCATTCATTCACTTCATTACTTCACTTGATTGCTCATGGGCACCTGCAGAGGGCCTCCTCCACGTAGGAGCAAGGCCCTGACACACAGCAGGGAACTCGTAATTTGGGCCAAGCTCTCTGCACAGTTGTGCTGGAAAATAGGTCAACAGCATAACACAAGGTATGCTGCTCTACTCACATCAGCAATCAGCCCCGGGTGGGGGGTAGACTATGGCACCCCAACTTTAGTCTCACCACAGGGAGCTGTCCTGAGGCATCAGAAACACTAGCTCGCCTCTGCCCTGGCCTGAGCAACCCAGCTTGCAGCTCAGTCAGGCTGCCAAGCACCCCACTTCGTGCCTGCCAGTGAGGTTACTGCTTTGTTGGTACCCCAGGAAGAGCAGTGAGCCTGACCTGTGGAACATGTCCTTTCACCCTCCAGGGACCAGACTGATGGGTCAGACCACCCCTTATTAACTATGGCAGGGGGTCCTGGGCTCATTCATCCAACAAACATTTAGGGTGCACCTACTACTGCTAGGATCAAGCCCAGACCCTGGAGCTCACACCCAACCCCAGCCTCCGAGCCAGGTGCCTGGTGAGTAGTAGGTGCACAGCAAATGTTTTGCCCTTTGACTCCAGCCAAAATCAAACTTTGTTTCCATTGAGGACTTTAAAAAATTAAGATATGTCGAGTCCTAAAAATCACCCTTTTAAAGTGTACAATTTAGTGTTGTTAGTATACAGATGACCTCCAACTTAAGATGGTTCAACTTAATATTTTGTCTTTACGATGGCAGTCAGCAATAATCATTCAGTAGAAACTGTACTTTGAATGTCCAATTTTGATATTTTCTGAACTAGCAGTATAATACTGTCTCTTGTGCTGGGCAGCTGTAGGCTAATGTATATGTTCCTCTGAGCATGTTTGAGGTGATCTGGATGAAGCTATGATGTTCAGTACATTAGGTGTCTTAAATGCATTTTTTACTTACAATATTTTCAACTTATGATGAGTTTATCATAAGCCATCATAAGCCAAGGAGCATCTGTATTCACAAAGTTGTGCAATCATCACCAGCATCTAATTTTATTTTTTAAACTTTGAGATTTTTAAAAAAATAAGTTTTTATTGATTTCGGAGAGGGATGGATAGACAGAAACATCAATGATGAGAGCCATTGATTGGCTGGCTGCCCCCTGCACGCCTCCATGCGCCCGGACCGGGAATCGAACCTCGATCTTCTGGATCATGTGTCTGTGCTCGACCACTGAGCCACACCAACCGGGCAGCAGCATCTAATTTTAGAATATTTTCATCACCCCCACAGAAACCGTGTAAACATTAGCAGTTTCTGCACATTCCACACACCCCAGCCCCCAGTCTACTCTTTGTCTTCTTAATATACTGTTGTTGTTAAGCCTCACCCAAGGATATTTCTTTCCATTGATTTTTAGAGAGAGTGGGCGGGAGGGGGGAGGGAGGGAGAAAGTGAAGAGAGAGAGACATCGACATGAGAGAGACACATCAATCGGCCGCCTCCCAACCAGGGGCAGGGATCAAAACTGCAACCCAGATATGTGCCCTTGACCAGGAATCTAACACAAGACCCTCTGGTGCTTGGGCTGCTCTAACCACTAACTCTGGCCAGGGCTTTAATTTACTTTTCTACTCTATGGACTTGCCTGTTCTAGACATCTGCATAAATGGTGTCATACGTGGCCTTTTGTGTCTGGCTTCTTGCACTCACCGTAATGTTTCAGGGCTCACCCATGTGGTAGCAGGTGTCAGAGCTCCGTTCTTTTCTGTGGCGGAGTAGTATCCCATTGGTGGGTGGGCCTCATTCGGTTTGTCCATCATCTGTTTTGTTGTGTTTTTAAAAATATATCTTTACTGATTTCAGAGAGAGGAAGGGAGAGGGAGAGATAGAAACATCAGTGATGAGAGAGTCATTGATTGGCTGCCTAGCCCGCAACCCGGGCATGTGCCCTGACCGGGAATCGAACCCCGATCGCCTGGATCCTAGGTCGACACTCAGCCACTGAGTCACTGAGCCAGGCCCGGCCGGGCCTATCATCTGTTGATGGACATTTGAGTTTGGTTTCACTTTGCCTACTGTGGATAGTGCTGCTGTGAACACTGGTGCTTGTGTGAACATGTGCTTTCAGTTCTTTTGGGTTTAAGAGTCAGAGTGGAATTGCTGGACATGCAGTGATGACGTTTAACAGTTGGACTCTCTTCCACCGTGGCCGCCCCACTAAACATGCCAGGATCAGTCCCTGCATCTACCATGGCACTCTGACTCTGAATTTCCTTTTCCATCACATTCTTCTAGCCAAAAGGTCACTTGATGGCAGAAGCTACATCTTTTTCTCTCCCCCC